GGGTCTCGCTCTTGCTCAGGCTGGTTTCAAACTCCTGAGCTCAAACAATCCGCCCACCTCAGCCTCCCAGAGAGCTAGGATTACAGGCGTGAGCCACCGCGCCCAGCGCACATTTTCTTTTGATAATAAAGACTTAAAAAGTTTTTAGTTCTACCAGGGTCCTTCAGCCTCTGCATGAAGATAAACTCACTCTCACTCCGTTTTGTCTTTTTCAGCATAAATGTCATGAAACAGCTCATTGCTTCATCTAACTTATTTGTGATGCAAGTGGAAATGGATGTGTACACAGCTCTAAAAAAGGTACTGACATATCACTCAACATAGCTTCTAATAGTGAAAAATTGCAAACAGCTAGTGTCCAGTGATAAAGGGATGGTTATAAATGTAAGAAGAGGAGAAGGAAACATGCCAAAATGTTAAAAAGTCTTTATATTTAGGGATTTCATATCATGAGTGATTTTAACTTTGTTCTTTGTACTTTTCTATCTTAGGACTACTTTTCTGTTTTTTCCCAGGTGTTTTTGAACAACAAATGTGTTGTTGTTATTTACAGAATCAGAAATGTTTTATATAAAAGGTATTGTTTAAATGTTTTATATGGTTTTCAGGAACGTTTTCAAAGTTCAGCTTTAGTTAAATTTATGATTTCATGATGAAATTTTTACATATACTTTTTCTAGAAAATGTTAATTCTTCTTTTAAAGGCCTGTTTGCACATCAGAAATTTTTTACTTCATCCTCTTGAAAGGTTTCAACATTTTTTAATCTAATTTTATTTTCACAGCTCTTCGAAGAGAAAAATCAGCTATTTCCCTGTAGATGGTGAGATGCAGAATCCTTACTAAGTGACAGACTTGAGGCACAGGCTAGGTCTTACGAGTTCTACTCCATTGCTCTCTTCCTGCTGCATAATTTTGCCTTTAGCTTTTTGTCCCCAGAATAGACAAATGTCTGCAATTTACATGGTTGTATACCTTCTACATTATATCATTGTGATTGTTTTTATGATAGAGATGAGATTCCATTACTATTTTTCTTCGAGGAAGTTTAGTATCTGGGCTATCCAATCTTTAAAGGAGTGGTAGAGCCCATTTCTGAGTCACAGTAGCATGCATTCTTTCATGTTGTTATGCTGCTGTTATGCCAGTAATGATAAATGCTAATACTCACATAGTACCTTGTGCCATTCTAAATATTTACATATTAAGTCATTTAATATTCTATGAGGTAGACATATTATGCTCATTTTACAAACGAAGAAATTAAGGCCAAGAGAAATTAGGTAATTTGCCCAGCTGTTAAATGGGCAGGTCTGTTGAAAGTCCATGCTCTTAACTACTGTGTGTATTGTCTCAACAAGACAAACTCCTTCCCATGTTTAATTTCTTACTCTTATAATCTCACATAGTATTTAGTGAAATTGAATTGTGAGTGGAATAAATTAGTATAAAATTACTAATATAATGTATATTAAACCTTCACCTTTTTAACACAGTAGTGTACGGGGTGTGTTTGTGACTATAAATACTTCTCAGGGATTCGCTTACCCCTTAGTACACACACATCCAGTTTTTAATCATTAGACTATGATTAATGCCATGAAAAATTTAAAGCATGTAAGCCTGTCATGTATAATATTTAATAATAGTTCTACTTTCTTTCAATTACTTGTAACATGGAAATTAAATTTTTTAGGTGTTATGTTTTAAGGCGGAAGCAATTCGAAAATGTAAAATCATTAGATGATGAAATCTTACAACTTTTTTCTTATTTAATTTTTTTAAAAATCTAGTGGATGTTCCTTCAACTTGTGCCTTCATGGAATGGATCTTTAAAACAGCTTTTGACAGAAACAGATATCTGGTTTTCTAAGCGGAAAAAAGGTATGCCTGAATTTTTGTTTTTTGAAAATTTATCTTTCTTTAAAATGGAATCTATTAAACTCAGACCCTGACTTGTTTATAGACAATGTTAGAGCTGGAGAGAACCTTCCAGTTATCTACTTTAGCCTCTCATTTATGGTGAGAAGATTGAGGCTAGATAACAAAAATGCCTTTCCTATTATTATCTAAATTGTTACTCTTTGAACTGTCATCACACTCAAATCCCCCAAAGCTGTTGCTTTTCTCATTTTATCACTAACAGTTCTTGGTGATTGCATTTGTCTTTGACCACATTGAATTTTCCCTAACAACCCATACCCTGTCCGGCAACAATTCTTAACATGGGGGCCATGGATAGGCTTCCATGTGTCACTAGCCCCCAACAGTGGATGCAGAGTTTGATATGTATGTGTGTGCTGCATGCATTTGGGGTGGAGAGCTTCCATACCTTTCTTCAGATTCTCTATGGAGACTGATCTCAAATTGCTTATGATCAGCTGCTATAAGGTTTTATCTGGGCAGAGGGGGAGCATACAATATATTTATTTTTTACTTTGCTAAAACATGTAGAAAAAAAATTTTAATGGCCCGCAGGTGCAAAGTAGTAGATAATTATACCTTAGTTCATGATTTTCTTAGTTTACTGTCATTTTTGGTCTGTGTATGGCCACCTTTTTTGTTTATTTTTAATAATATATTGAGCCTTTGTGAACTAACCTTCAAGTACTAGAACATTAATAACTTCAGTCTACTCGCATACTTCTTTTCTGTTGTGTCCCTCTGATTTTCCCCAACTACTATCTTAAATTTTGTGTTTATTATTATTTTGCCTTAAAAAAATAATTTATTGTTGTGGGGCATGGCAGCTCATGCCTATAATCTCAGCACTTTGGGAGACCGAGGCAGGAGGATTGCTTGAGTCCAGGAGTTCAAGACCAGTCTGAGCAATAGCAAGACCCCCATCTCTACAAAAACTTAAAAAATCAGCCGGGTGTGGTGGCTCGGCCTACAGTCTTAGCTGTTTGGGAGGCTGAGGCGGGAAGATCGCTTGAGCCCAGGAATTTGAGTACAGTGACCTGTGATCAGGCTGCACTCCAGCCTGGGCGACAGAGGGAGACCCTGTCTCAAATAATAGTAATGATAATAATGTTATCACTTTATGCATGTATGTGCTAACATACATAACAGTGGTGTGCTAAAAAGCTGAATGTGGAAAAAACAGTCCCTGATTTGTAGCATTTTTTCATTTCCTTGGTACAAATTCTCTCAGCATGGCTGATTTTGAGCTACCAACATGACATCACTGAATGTAGAGTTGGAAAGAGATGCACACAGTCAGCTCCTTTGAGCCAGCACGAGCCAGCTGTAGCACACCACTGGACAATATACCATTTTGTTCACTTGTTCGGGAACTACTTCATATTGTGGTCTTAATTTTCATTTCCTTCGTAACTAAAGGGATTGAACGGTTCTATATATACACACACACACACACGCACGCACGCACGCACGCACGCACGCCATATATTTCCCTTTCTGTGAAATGTCTGTTCTTTTCCTATTTTAATGTTAAATTTACCTTTTCTTAATGATTTGTAGGCATTCTTTATATATTCTTGATAGCCAGTACTTTGTCATAAATATGTTTGGCATTTGTCTTCCAGTTTGTAAGTTATCTTTTTACTTTATTAAATGTCTTTTGATGAATAGATGTTCTTTTTTTTTTTTTTTGAGACAGAATCTCACTCTGTTCCCCGGGCTAGAGTGCCATGACATCAGCCTAGCTCACAGCAACCTCAAATTCCTGGGCTCAGGTGATCCTCCTGCTAGGATTACAGGCGTGAGCCACCACGCCCGGCCAATAGATGTTCTTGATTTTAAAGTTTAGTGGTCTTTTTGTCTTAAATTTGTAGAATTATTTTATTTAATCAGATTTCCTAGCTCAGAGCCTGATAAATTATTTTTCTATCAAGCTCCTAAAGTAAAAATGTGTAAAGGACCATATCAATAAAATCTAACTTGATTTACTTGAAGAACAAAATATTAAACTTATATCTTAAATTATACTTTAGTGTTACAGTATGGCAATTAAAGGATTAGGGAAATTATAGAGAAGAAAATTATAGAATTTAAATGAAAAACAGGGAGAGAGAAAAACTGAATGAGTTAAGGAGGATGGAGAAGTTAAAAAGGGAAAAGGACTCAATAGAAGCAGTAAATGTTGACATAACCTTATGCTCATTTGTGCTCCGGCTAGATCAGCCACAGCAATCTATCAAAAGGGAAGTTAGACTAAGCGGCACAAACCAGAATAGGAAACCATGGTCCACTTATGGTTTTCTTCTAGGCTCTCTCTCCCAGCCCTGTAGTGTGAAAGTATACAGTTTAAGATGATTGTTCAGGGAGACATTTATTGCTCAAAGCAAAATGTATGTCTAATGCTCTTGTTTTTCTGGAGGACTTCATAGGGTCATTTCAAAGTTTTAAAATTGTAAGTGATGCATACTCAGGAACTATGATAGAAAAATGACTTATGGTCCCCTCACCCATTATATTATATTTCTTTTAAGTTTTCTTAATCATTTGACTTTTCAGATATATATTGATCAGGACTGTAAGAAAACAATAGAAATTTAGAAAGTTTTCTACACAGTTATATCTAAGGATTGCTACTGCATTTGGCTGATGCAGTCAGTATGGCCACATGTCGGCTAGCAAGAAACTTTAAAACATTTTTTTGATTCTTTGAATTCTTACAAAAATAAATGAGCCAATCTCATCTATAACCTTGAAGAAAAGACTTCATGGAATAATTATCAGATTGCTATGAGACAATCTAGAATTAGATTTTTATAACTTGTTCATGTGACAGAGCACCTGTAAGAACATAATAGTATTCTCAGTATACCCCGTGAAATTGGCACATTTAATTCAACATATGAACTAGAACTGTTATTATTGTTTAAAAAAAAAAAAAAAAAGGCAAGAGATGTAAATCCACAGTCACATGCTTGTTGTATAAATAAACAAAGTTAACTATTAATTTTTTAAATGAGTTTACTACTTTCTTGTTTGCTTTGCTTGACTCTAGGCAAGTGACAAAGGAATACAAAAAATATATAAGATAAAAATGTGGGCCAGGCACAGTGGCTTACACTTCTAATCCTAGCACTTTGGGAGGCCAAGGTGGGAGAATCACTTGAGGCCAGGAGTTTGGAGGTTGAAGTGAGTTATGATTGTGCCACTGCACTCTAGCTCAGGCAACAGAGTGAGGCCTTATTTCCAAAAAGAAAAAAAAAAATTCATTAACTGGGCTATCTTTTCACGATTTTCAGGAAAAAATTATTTTAGTGGGGAACACTTTTCTGGTTCGCAGAAAACCTATGTTCCATATGAAGTATGGTTTGAGACATAATAATCTACAATGACAACTCTCATCTTTTTTTTCTTATCCTTAATAACAACAGAGCTGAGTATACTCCCATGGGTATGTATACCTTGTTTAACAGAAAACATAGACTAGGACTTATGCACAAGTCCCTGTTTGATAACAATAACTCTAGACCTTTCCTTCCCACTCATGAAAGCACATTGGAGTACAAACTGAGGATAATTTTTAGAAATAACCTTAGTTCTCCCTAAAAAAAAAAAAAAAAAAATTCATACACTTCATAAACTTGAATTATTTTAATAATAAATTAATACTACCCATGTGTTACAAATCTGGCTACAATATCTTATTTTGTATTTTAATAGAGAATTGATACATTAATTAGTGTTCATGACATATAGCTGAAGCATAAGTTAGAAGAATCCCAAGAGACGTTCCATGTCCTGTGTATCTTATGAAGACCTTTGAGGCTTTTGGGCTCTAGAGTTGCACTGGAGTGTTTAATCCCTGGAAGGCACGATTCTGGAGAGAGAATCTGACTCTAAGTACCTTTGTCAAGCCTTCCTTTCCCGTCTTCCTACACTCTAAATTCCAAACCCTAGAAAGGTGTACAGCTGAATTCCCAGCCCAAGGGTCTGATAAGGACCAAAGTTAATTTCTTAGGGCTTTTTAAAAAATTTCCGTAAGTTTTTATTTACATACTTGAGGTTTACAAAATTCTTGAAAAGTTTGAAACTTCCCTAAGTTTTTATTTACATACTTGAGGTTTACAAAATTCTTGAAAAGTTTGAAACTAACTTATTTGTATTCTAGTACAAATGTGTATGTGTGTGTGTGTACTTGTCCCCATCCATAAAAACATTTAGGAAATCAGTTGATTCAAAAAGAATAGCTATTTAATTTAAACTATTTTTTATAGATTTTGAAGGTATGCCCTTCCTTGAAACTGAGCAAGGAAAGCCATTCGTGCCAGTATTCAGATATTTGAGGTTGCAGTATATTATTAGTGATCTGGCTTCTGCGAGAATTACTGAACAAGATTGTATAGTACCTTCAGGTAAGATAACATGATTAATTTATGATTTTAAATAATATTTTTCTGATTATAACTGTCATATATATCATAGACAAGAATATTGAAGAAAATAAATTATCCTTAATTCTAAAAAGTTACACATTTTTATGCCAAAGTAGAATCATACTATATAGGTAATTTTCTGTGTTCATATTCTATACTGTGGTCATTTTGCCATATTTCGTTTCATTAAATACTCTCCAGAATATTTAAATGTCTATATACTATTCTGTAATATGAATGTTCTTTAATTTGATAAACTAGGACACTGTTTTGGATCAAACTTTTAAAAATGATTTTTAAAGTATTTAAAGTCATAATTGCTTATTCTATTAGTACTCCTTAAATTTATTTTCTGATATTTTCTTATTCTAAAGTCTTAAACTTCATGCTGAAGCAAGTGTAGTATTTATTCATTGTAATTTAAATTTTTTGCAACAACTATTGATTTAACTTTCTAAGTTAAATGTCTAATGCTTATGAAAGATTCAGTTTAGTACTATAGATGCATATAAGTAGTAGAAACTAGAATTTCTATTTGAGTATTTACTTATGAATTTATAAACATTTGTAGTAATAATTATAGATTTGTCTGAAAAGTTGTAATTATTTTTGTTACCTCAGTTTTGATATAGCTGTGTATTGATAGATTTAAATTGTTCTTGAAATCTATATACTTATTTAGAAAGGTATTGAATGGAAAGAAAACCTAGAGTTAACTTTTCTGATATGTTAGAAAGTAATGCATTTTTATAAAATCACTTAGGCAGGTTTATAGACACAGTTTAAGTGACACATTCTCTGAATTTTATATTCCTTATAGCAGTTCTGTAATAGATTTAGTATGTGTTAAATACCAATCCCTAGCAGTGATGTAATATTAGATGCCAAGGCAAATTACATATGCCACTCTCTAATTATATTTCCTTTTAAGGCTTTTTGGAAATGAATATTGGGAGACTGAAAAAAAAAGTCTGTTTTAAAGTAGTTTAATTTAGGTGTGCCTGTGATGCAAGTGGATAGCTTTATATTTTTGGAATGCAAGA